TGAGTAATTATTTCTGATTTCATTTTTCCCAGATCCTCTTTTGTTGCCAGTTCAGAGAGTCCAGGTGGTTGAGTATCAGATTGTTCCATCTTGTTTCCCTTTGGGGTTGCTGTAGGTGATCTGGAACCCTGGTTTTGAGGCTTGTTTATGTGTTTTCTCATTTCCACGGGGCAGGGGGTGCTTCTGGCGCCCACGCGGCTCACCGTCTCTGCCCTAGGAGCTTGGGATGGCAGCAGGGGAGCTTCCTTCTGGGTTCTGGGACTGGCTCAGCTTCTCTGCCCTAGGAGCTTGGGATGGCAGCGGGGGAGCTTCCTTGTGGGTGCTGGGACCGGCTGAGCTTCTCTGCCCTAGGAGCCTGGGATGGAGGCCGGTTGAGTAACTATTTTAAATGGGCTTAAAGGGAAAAGTTTTTAGTTGAGATTTTATTTCCTCTTCCCCAGGAAGTTAATTGTTACTTTGCTTCAATAAATGTTAACTATATTTAATATGAAAATTTACAGCTTACTTCTTAAAGCACAAAGTAGGTCTATCTCTTATCTATTTATCTTTATTACTTATACTCTGAAAGAAAAACACACTCAAGTAACTTATTCAAGCCAACTAACTTCTCACTAACACTTCTTTCCTGAAGTGAGGAATAAGTCACATAACACTGACAGGTCCTAATTTAACTCAGATCACAATTAATACTTGTTTTGGAGAGGAATTTTTAGTTTTATTACATAGTGAGAGGTAATTATTTTAAGGAGATATGATAGAATAAAACATTTTAAAGCAACAGAGTTCACGCAGATACAGTTCTGGTCAATTTGCATTCATTTCCATTTTACTCCTTGACAGGGAAAATTTTATATAATTAGGATGACAGCTGACAAGTACGATCTAGGTCAGATTTAAAATGCATGTTAACTACACACTTTGAAAGCACTTACATCAGATATGTATCTTTTTAATTAAAAAGCATCCATTTTATTGTGTAACTGTATTTTGGGAGTGATTGATCCCCACATTTAATTGATTCCTAAGCCCTGAGGCCTAGTAAGTAATTTGACTGTCCTGCCCACATATGGAAGTTAGATTAATATTAATGATAAATATAGAGAGATTGATCAGCACAGATACACCTACTTAAGTATCACAACACAAAGAAAAAATAGAAATTCTGATTCAGGAGTTCTTTAGATTTTAAGGGCAGAAGAGAAAGAAGTCTTAATACTTTTCAATTATCACTAGGAAATACTTGTTACTTATCTTCATGTTATATTCATTCCAAGAAGTAGAAAGTGGAATCTTCTTGAAGTTTTGATTTTAATGCTCTAATGGTAATGCTGTTGAGGATCTTTTCATGTGCTTTTCACATTTACATGATGAGAGAGTAAAAGAATAGTTTTACAACAAGGAAAAATTGGGTATATAAGACTTACTCATTTAATTGTCCTATCAATGGTTATTTGGTTAGAATTGGAAGATGTTTAGCCTAAGAAGTGTCTAAGACAAAATTAAAAGATTTGACTACTTATTGTACCGAGGTATCATACATGAGAAAGCTCCTAAAATACTTTTTTTTCCTTCCTTTTTTTGGTACCGGGGATCGAACTTGGGTCCTTGCGCTTGCGCAGGCGGCGGCAAAACCACTGAGCTATATCTCCGGGCCTCCTAAAATACTTTTTAAGAACATACATGTGTGCTCATGCGCACACACTTTAAGTAAAAACATAATGTATAAGGCACACAGTGTGCCTCCTTTCAAAGTATGCAAGGAATTAATTTATCAATTGGTGATGTATACCATTCATATAACTCTCCTCTCTTGCTCTGTTCTACCTTTGCTTCCTGGCCATGCAGCACCACAATTTACTCAAAAATAGCAATGCTAAGTGGATAAAAGGGGCCATACGTGTACAGAAGGCAGAGCACAGATACTCATTATTGGTGCTAGACAGCTGGGGAGAGCATGAAGGACAGCGACCGGCATAAATGCCCATTGAAAACTCATGCTACAGCTGTAGAAAACTAAAATTCAAATATATCTTTAGTAGTACAAATATAAAACAAATTTGTACTTTCATTTATCATGTATACACCATGTCACAGACACTAGCAGAAGTTTCATTTACTGTTTTATATACACTATTCAACAACATTATGAAGGCTCCTGTTTCTCATTTTATAAATAAAGGAATGATGCTTAGATTACACAGCTTAGTAGAAGTCATAAGGTTGGAAAGTTCTGAAGCCTGACTTAAACTATAAGCCTGCTTGGTTTCATAGCTCATTATTCATAATACAGTCTGATGCTTTGTAATACCCAACATAAGAAAGAAGATTAAAAAAAAAACAAGAAAGAAAGAAGATGCTTGCTTGGAATGATATATGTGATCTAAGATATAGAGTTAGATGCAGGGATATAACAAGTCTGGGCTCCTCTAATATTTGTGTGTGTGTGTGAAATAAGGATAAAATAACTCAAAATGGGACTTTACCAGATATGCCAAGTTGTATGCTTTCAGTAACTGCCATGATGTTACCTCTATGGGAAAGTTTTAAGTAATGGTGATGTGAACATAACTACTTTACTACAGCTGCTATAAGAAGGTATTTTTCTTGGACAGTTACTTCCAGAAATTATCAAATAAGGAAAAGGGAAAAATTCCCTATATTACTTACCTGGTGGCATGGCTTATGCTAGGGTCAGGTTCCATACAAACAGAACATTTCATACTTGCTCTCCATACATTCATCTTCTCTCTGCTTTTTCATCTTCCTCACTCTCTTCCTCTCAGTACCCCAGTCACCAATGTCCTTCAATAGCTGTCTACTCCTGTACCTCTTTGGTTTGTTGTGTCATCCCCTCAACCCTGGTTTTTCATCCTTATCACAGAACTGAAACTGAGATTTCTTTGGATAAGATCCTCTTGGTGCATGCAAAAGGCTCCAAGGATCCCTGCTTGCAAACACTACCAAATCATTACTGGGCGCTCTGGAAGGACCCACTCAGTTAGAGAATGCCTGTAGCCTAAAACATGAAAGGAACATAAATCTGAGAGACAGTGCCAACAGTCTCAGGGACTATGCTAAAGGAAATATTATCTGCTCTTTGGAAAGTGATGAGTTTACAGCATTTGTAGGACATTCACTAGTATCTCATATCCTCAATACAGTTTACATACTCAAGAAAAAATGAAATTAAAATTAAAAAGTCTAAGAAGAAACATGAAAAATACAAATTTTCATATTTGTACAGAAATTACTTTATATATTGCTTATGCCATTCTTCTAATGAATAATGAAAGATGTTCTTTGTTAACAAAATTAAAATTTACCTCTGGAAATCAGCAACCAACTTAACATCAGCAATGACAATCTTATGCTCAATAATCATGTGCTTCAGAAGTTTGTCTCGTTCAGCCACAGGAAAATGTTCTTCACAGAAAATACAAGGCACAGATGGAGAACCTACTGAAGTGGTGGAGCCACCTGGACTTTCTGGCAGGGAGAGCGGCTCTAGGATACAATCCTTACTGTCTGGGAGAGAGAGAAAAAAGCTGAAACCAACTCTTTCGATCTTTAGATGGATGATTTCTTACCTCTTGTATCAGAAGGATACTGAAGATATTTATATATCCACCGAACGAAAAATACATAGTCCCCAGGAATACTTTATTACAATTTTAAATGCTTCTGCAACCCAGGGGGAGGGGATATCGCTAAGTAGCTCAAACTCCCCATAAGCTTATTTGAATGGGGGAAGCCCATTTGTCTGGGCATCTGTTCAAACCTTTTTTGTGGATATTAGCCAATGGCAGCAGTTTTTTGGGGGGAACTTGCTTGAGAAAAGCCAGCAACATGTTGGGTTAGGGTTCTAAGCTCCAGCTGTGGCAGTCATAATAAAAAGATGAGAGGTCAGTCTTTTAAGCTGCTTTCTGTTATACCTGCAAATGCTTTCCTAGTTTTGATTTGTCATATACAGAGAAGATGTATTTGGTATCTACGCTGAAAGACCTTTTTACGCCTACCATGACTAACACCATCACTGTGTGGTTATTTTGCACCAGGCATTGTTTTTTTTTGTTTTTTGTTTTTTTTGGTACCGGGGATCGAACTCGGGTCTTTGTACTTGCGCATCAGGCGGCAAAACCACTGAGCTAAATCCTCGGCCCTGCACCAATCATTGTTGAGCACTTTACATATACAGTATTAACTTAACCCTCACAATAACCCTAACAAAGGAGATTCCATTTTGATCCCTATTTTATAAATCAGGGAACTGAGAGGTGAGAAGCTAAGTGACCTGTGCTAGTGGTGGAGTACTGAGTGGTGGAGAAAGAATTTGAATCCAAGCAGTCTGGCTTAAGCATTAAACTTTTAACATATAAATAATATTAAAGAGCTTAGATTTTTTTCCTATTGGAAGTAGTCATTCCTGTTTTAAACTGCTACAAGGAGAATGGGCTAGAAAGAGGCAAGTTTCAAGATGGAGAGAATATCTGGGAGACTACTGCAGATGTCCACATCAGAGGGCTCATTCCAGGTAGAAATTAGTAGTGGTTGGAGGGGTGGGGAAGAGACAGATAAGAAAACACAGAAATTAAACTGACAATTCATAATTACTGACTGGCCACTGGGAGTGAAGAAAGGGGAGAAGAACAGGGAGTGCTTCTGGCTGGGAGGGCTACAGAAATAGGCGTGCCAAGTTGACCTGGGATTACACAGAGAGCGGTTTGGCTTTATGAATGGGAAGAACCCACTGAGCATGTTTTAGATATGTTCAACTGATCTGCCCAGAAGTTACATATTCCTCTTACTGCTGGCAGATAAAGGTAGTAGAGCCTGGGGTCTCATGAGAAACATTTGTGCTATTTTGTACTATGTTCTTTGGCAGGTTCTTCTCTTCCAGGTTCTCTTGTGGCTTGACCCACTCATCTCTCCAGGCCCAACATGAGCAAGAATCTCTGCTGTAATTAACTAATTATATACAGATCTCTACCACTAGGCTACTCTATGAACACATGGTCAAGACCTTCTTTATCTTCATATGTCTCATGCACACTGGCTAGAACAAAGCTGCTAATTAATAAATGTTTGTTATGAAACAAAGATATGGAAAAAAAAAAAAGAATGAACCAGAGGTACTTTCAACAAGAGTTCTAAGATTATAGTTTCTAGGAGAGTCCTGTTTCAGGCAGCACCTGTACTTGACTTTAGGAAATTACTTCTTTTTGGAATTTAGGGTAGTGCTAGATCTTTAGTAATGTAGGCCTTGATATAGCAGGCCCACTGGTAATTAATACTGATATAAAATTGTACTGAATTATCAGATGACAGTATCATTGAGTGTAACACAGGTATGTTATATTTTGTTAGGAATTTTAAAATTCCATTTCTAAGAATAGTGTTCTGTGAACAAAGAACAAGTGGCATCTGCAATGCAGAGTAAGTTATATGATTCCACCAGAGGAATACTCTCTAGATAGTTTAGTACATAGCCATGGTTTCCAAATCTGAGTTTCATCATCTGGATGTGTGTGTGTGTGTGTGTGTGTGTGTGTGTGTGTGTCTGTGTACATGCATGTGTGCTGCAGATTGAACTCAGGGTCTTGTGGAATGGAGATCTTTCTAAAAATGCTGATATTTTAGGACCTTACTTTAGATGGTGGGAAATGCAATTTTTATCAAGTGGCGGCAGTGTAAAGATCAGACTTAATAATGGCATTCCTACATGGCTACTTGGGAATCAACTGTTTGGAGAACAATCAATCACATGCTGACTGTGAACATCACGATCAAGGAGGTTAGTATGGTCACTTAAACTCATGGAAAAGGCCATGAAATTAGCTGACAAGGCCTGTGGCAAAGCTTACTTGACAGTCTATTCTGCCCTACAGCATGTTCCCAAAATGCTACATGTTGGATCAGCAGATATAACTCATTCATATCTGTCTAACACATTGCTCATTTCCAGCTGTCACTATGTCTATATAGTTAAAAGAAAATAGATAGGGCCGGGGATTTAGCTCAGTGGTTCTGCTGCCTGCCTCGCAAGCACAAGGTCTGGAGTTTGATCACCAGCACCAAAAAAAAAAAAAAAAAAGAAAAAGACAACGGACAGAGAAATATATAATGCTTTACTTCCAAGACTTTGAACTCTAAAAGGCAAAAGGAAATAAATCACATCTAAATTCTTTCAGCAAAAAGGCATCTTGGAAATTCTGCTTTGGCCCAAAATCCACTGCACATATGTGTTACAAATTAACAACAACAAATCATCTGCTTTAGTTCTCACTTTGAATAGCAACTTGCTCAAACGAACTATAAAAAAATAACATCCCAAGGAAGCAGAGTTTTTGAGGAGATCCTATGCTGATTATTAACAATTTTATTGACTCTAGGATTATTGCAGGAGAGTGTTTCTCAAAGTTTAAGGTGCACATGAGTCACGTGGCAATTTTGTGAAAACACAGATTCTGATTCAGCAGGTGTGGTGGTTGTGGAAACGAGACATTCCCATCTCCTGCTGCTATGAGCATAACAGACAAGAGCGACTAAGGTGCAGTGCTCTGAAATCCCATCTGCACTAGAGCCTCCAACAGGCTGCTGCATCAGTGACAAGGGATTAACATTCAACATACATAAGATACTCAGACAAGTAATAACAAAATAAGAAATAACCAGTTTAAAAATTAGCCAAAAGGATTTGAATAGCATTTCTTCAAAGAAGATACAGGAATGGCCAACAGGTATATAAGGAAGTACTCAACATCATTAGGCAAATGGAAATCAAAATCACAATGACATATCATCTTATACTTGCTAAGACGACCAAGTAAAAAAAAAAAAAGAAATGTTGATGAGGATGTGGAGACTGGAACCCTGTGCTTTCTGGTATTTATTCTTCCAAAAACAGTACAGAGGGTCCTCAAAATATAAAAACAAAACTATTTTTTGCAGTGTTTGAGACTGAACCCAAGGTCTTTTACTGAGCTACATCTCCAGCCCTCAACCCTTTTCAAATTTTGAGACAAGGTCTCGCTAAATTGGTAAACTGCCTAGGCTGAGTTTGAACTGGTACTCCTCCTGCCCCAGCCTCCCACAGAGCTGAGATAACAAATGTTCACCACATCCAGCTTTAAACTGGAACTATCATAGATCCAACCATCTTACCTCTAGTTATTTATCCAAAAGAAGAAAACAAAGGACCTCACAGAGGTATCTGCACTCTTATGTTCACAGAAGCATTACAATAACCATAAAGTATTAACAACAAAAGAATGGATAAAGGAAATATGATCTGTAAGCACAATAAATACTATTCAGCCTTAAAAAAGAAGAAAACCATGTCATAAGGCTATGATGTAGATGAACCTTAGGGGTCTTTAAATTTGTGAAATAAGTCAGTGACAGGAGACTAAATACCAAATGACGACTTGTATGTGGGATCTACAGCAGTCAGATGAGCTGGAGCAGAAGGCAGAATGGTGGGTGCCAGGCCTGAGGAGAAAGTGAAGGAGGGGCCACTGTGCGGTAGGTGGAGCTTCAGCTAGGCAAGGAGGACACGCACTGGAGAACTGCTGTACAGCAATGTACACACAGTTAAGACGGCTGGACATTCAGACATTTGTTAGGGAGGACACTTCATTTAATGTGTTTTCAAATCACAATTTTAGGAAAAGGGAGAGGAAAGAGCTGGGTGACTGAAGTCAAGGCTGGAGGAATCCTGATCCCGTTAACGCCTGCTGACCAATCAGGAACAAGTTACTTTCCATCTCTTAGCCTGTTTTCACAACATAAAATGAATTAATCAGAATTCCTCCTGAAAGAGTTGTCATAAGGTTGAAATGAAGAAATGAATTTAAAGCAAATGAGACCCAAACACAGAAGCTCAATAAAAGCCTGGCTCCTACTACTAGGGCCCATAACGAGGATGGCTGATGTTTGAGGGTGAACAGAGATGGTATCTTCTGCACTGATGTGGACTAGAAACTCCTGTGAATTAATGAGAAGTACACATTTCAAAGGCCTAACAGATTTAAAGAATTAAATCACATGAGAGTAGAGCCTAGACTTCTACACTTGATCTTAGCCAAAAGGCCGAGAAGCCATGAGCCTAGACTTCTAAAAAAGACTAAGCCCATTTGCCAACTGGGTATTTATTTACTTTTAAGTCCTGATTATACTACTGAATTTCAAAAGCTTTTGCATTCTCTTGATTGTTATTTGTGTAACAGTAACAGATGAAAGAGAAAACACAATACATTTGATCTAGAGATAAGGAAAATCGAATTTACATTGATAACCTCAGTTTTCTGACCATAAGAGATGGGCTCCACTCACACTACAGGAAAGGGCTGGAATACATGCGGAAAAGATTTAGAACTGCCACTATGGAGAATGGCAATGCAGTTGGTATACAAGATACAACCCAAATGATTATAAAAGTCCTGAAAGCCTAGCTCACGTTAGCTGGCTGTCTTACTTCTATATTTATATTTTAACAACATACTTATATTACGTGCCTAAAAGGGACT